CCGGCCACCCCCTCCAGTATATTTTCAACATATCAAGCCGAGTGGTCTCGTTAAAATGTAAGTCAAACCATCTCAGTCCTCTGCTCAAATCTCTCCAACAACTTCCCATCTTACTTAGAGTAAAGGCCCCACACGGTCTGACCTCATTATCTCTCTGACCTTTCTCTTCCTTGCTCATTCACTGCAGTCACACCAACTTCACTGCTGCTCCTCAAACATTCCAAGTGCTCTTTACCTCAGGGCCTTTGCACCTGCCGTTCCTCTGCCTGGAATGTTAATCCACACGACATCTGTCTGGCTACCATAATAAGCCCACAGTAACATCTGTCTGGCTCCCTTCCTCATCTTTTTAGAACTTTGTTCACGTGTCAGCTTAGCGAAGCCTTCCCTGGTGTTCCTATGTAAAGTCTGATCCCTAATTCCCCTTTTTTGTTTTACTTTTCTCCACTGCAGTTATCACCACCTAACCTACTATATATTTTATCTATTACTTACTTATTTTACATACATCTTTCCTTTAGAAATAAGGGATTTTTCCATCACTTTTTTTACGCTTGTATTAACAGAACATAGAACGTCTGATCCATCGAAGGAACTAAACAATATATGTGATGAATAAATCAATGACTGATGAATCCAACATTTTTTTTCCATATCTGTATCTTAACCCATGCTGTGCTGCCAGAGCAGAATACCTGAGAATGGGTAATTTATAAAGATCAGAAATTCCTCTCTCACAGTTCTGGAAACCGAGAAGCCTAAGATCAAGGTGCAGGCAGGGTTGGAGTCTGGTAGGGCCACTTCCAGGATGGTGCCGTGAAGGCCGCATCCTTCAGAGGGTGGGGACACTGAAGGAGGTGATCCCACTCCCCAAAGCCCTTCCACTGTGGCCTTAATCCACTCGTGAGAGTGTCACCCGCACGACCCAAACTTCTCCCATGAGGCCGGACCTCCCAGCACGGCTGCATTGGTAATTCCGTTTCCAGCACGTGAGTCTGGGAGGCGACAACCATTCAAATCATAGCGTCGTGTGTCTAGGACTGTCACCACCCATCAACGCTTTATATAAAAGCCCACGTTTTATTGACTTTTGTCTCCTGGTCTCCAGACTTTGTGAAGTAAGAGCCAAGGATGGCATGTGAAAGTCCACGTGACTGTCCCCGTTGGTGGTGTCCCACGGTGCGGTCCCTGGGCCAGCAGCATGAGCGTCACGTGGGAACGTCTTACACACGCACATTCCTAGACCCACCTCTGTTGGATCAAAACCTACACTGACGATAAGCTCCCCGGGGAATGGGATGTACACTGAAGACTGAGATCCACTGACTCACCCTGTAAGTTTGCTAAATCAGAAATGACAGTTGAGCTTTTAACACAGACTTTTTTCACATCAGAGATTTCAAGTTCTTTGTAGTAAAATACATTTGAAAATATTCTGACCGCAGTAAGTGTTCAATGAGTCTTGTTCTTCATGACCCTGTACCTACCCTTCCCTTTCATGCCCGCAGCCATTCCCCCAGGCCAGGCACTAACGTCTTACATGTAGGTTATCACACTAGTCTTCTAACTGGTCTTCATGCACTAACTAGTCTTCTAACCACTCTCCATGTGCTAATACATTTTCTTGAATATAAATTTTTTAGTATGTTTTAGTTTCTGAAATAAAGATGCACCTCATGATTGAAAAGTAAACTTCATGTAGTGTAGTTTCTTATTTCCTGTAAGATTATTTGTATGCCAAGGATCTACCTTATAGTAGAGGAAACGAGGCATTTTCCTGCACCGATTTGTTTCATCCTACATTGAACGGCCCTTCCCCCGCCCTCCTACAGCCCCGTTTTTCTCATCCCGCGGGCATCTTAACGGGAAAACGCACACTACCCAATCCGGCTGACGTCAGGGAAGACCTCGGTCACGGAAGGCTCCGCTGCGTAAACGTGACCTCGAGGCCGTCACGTGCTCAGAGGTCACGGACTTTTCATTAAAGACAGGCTCGCAGCTGCGCGCTTTCTGCGCCAGGCGGAGCTTCGCCCACGCAGCGGACCCCGCGGCGGCTCCGCGGTTCTCTCGAGCCCGTCTCCGGGTCACGGGTCGCTGCCCGGGAGCGCGCGGAGCACGAGCTGGCACCGTGCGAACCGCTCCCGCGCCGCGGCTCCTCCCGTCCGCTCTCTGCCGTCTGACACGTATCCCCTCTCGCCGTGCTGCTCAAAGGAGCACAGGGTGCCCGTGAGCCACGTTTTCGTGTCCCCCTCCACGGGCCGTGGCGCACGAGCCGGTCACCGCGACACAGTCCTCGGGACTCGCCGGCAGGCGGCGCTGCTGGCTCGCGAGTCTCCTTTTCTCCTCCGCTTCGGCTTTTCCCTGGTTCTGGCGACCTTCTTCGGGGGTTCTCATTAATTTGCCTGAACGGCCACAAATAACGGCGATCACAAGATAGCAGTGAAGTCAACAGCCTCCCTGTGTGTCTAAATAACGGCAGTGCAAGACGAGTTTCCAAACTAAGTTCACATGAACTTAATTTTTGGCTCCCAGCCCCAGCCGTACATTGGGACCATGAAGTAAATGCGACCCTCCGAAGGCGGGGCACGGCCACCTGTTCCAAATCTCCCCGGGCAATTGCTGATGGAGCTGCCGACCGCAGGGAGAGGGGCGGCCGGCTGCAATTGCTCTTCTGCGCCCGAGCTAACCTAGCCAGCCAAGGACAGACCTAATTCTGACTGCTTTATGAGTCCTCGTTTAAATTCTGTTTGCAAGCAAGTTTCGTATGTATCATCTGAAAAGCTGAAATGATAAAATTCAGCTGATTTCTTAGAAAACAAAGTAGGGAATAGCATCATTGTATCAGGGATTGGCAAGGAAGCACCCCCACGGTGGACTTCGAGTGTCACAGTGAGAAATAGGCGCTCGCTGGGCCCACAGGGATACGGTATAACGCACAGTATAAATGCATCTGTCGTAGGGTGAAGGGCCTTATGATGGAATCTTACCACGTTTCACATCGAGAATTCACCCATGACATCCTTTATGGCTTAGACCACTGAAAGGATTCATTAAAATCCAATTAAATTAGAATGTAAAAGAAATATACACATTTATAAAACATGATTTTTCAAGCTGTGTTTTTGCAATTATAAAACTATCACGGAATACTGCCGTTAAAATGGCTGGAACGTTAATTCGATCTCACATCTATTCCCTTTCATCATCTTTCACAGTATGGAAACAGCAGCTAGAAATAGACGACGCTAACTTAGTGAACTATAGTGATTTTTTAAAGTGATCATTATAAACAAAAGCAATTCTAAATCAGGCCCACAATAATTTATTTTTATTCAAAAAAATTTTTTAAAAATTGAAATTCAATTGCTATAATTCTAATTAAATAGGCACAACAGTATGGCATATAAACAAGGACTTTTTATGTATAAATATCATTTTATTAGCTCCTTTAATATTGCCCATAACTTTTAGCATAGCTTTGGTAATTAAGATGCACTTGATAAAATAATTTTCCACTTGACACAAGCAATCTACCATCATAAAGTATATATGAGGTAATAGAGAAGGAAAACTCCAGTGTAATATCTATTTACCTCAGTTTCATGACCAGGAAGTATACCAAGGAATACATGAAAGAATTTAAAGACTTAGAATAATTCAGTAATACAAGTCTATGTGGCGTAGGTCTGTTTTAGAAGAATCATTTCAAAGGTAGTATCCAGAGCAACTTGGAAAAAGTAGAGGATGGATGTGGAGTCTGGGAGGTCGTATAGTACCACACATAACGGATGAGGAGGCACAGAATGGAGGAACTCAATTCGGAACATACCTCAGATGTCAAAACAGCGGATTTTGAAGATTGACTGTAGGTAAGGGACGAGGGAGAGGGAGCAAATTTCATTCCGGAGCAACTAAGGAGATGTCTATTTTGTAAAAGAGATATTTCCAGAATACGTAAGAGCAAAATGATGCTGGAGGCTTCTGATGCAAATTTTGAAGAGGAATATTTTCCAAATAGTTCTATTGCCTAAAGCACTTGGAAAAAGAATGACAAAATGAAGACGTGAGCGTGAAAGGGTTGGGAGAAGAAGGCAAGTTGAAAGGCAGAAACCGCAGGCAGCCGCAAAGTGGCAAGAGCTAAGGGAACACGTGGTCTCGAAATGCGAGTGACGCCTGGCAGGTGTGGGCCAGGACTGACGGGCAGTGTGAGCAGAGCCCAGAACGAATGTGAGAAGGCGGGGACCAGCGGGCTGCCCCTTACGAGTAGGCGGAAACCCAAGAGAAAAGCAGAGCTAGGTGGTCGCCGTGAGGAACCGACCTAAACGAGCAACTGTGATTCAGGACGGTGGGAGGACCAGGACTGTGCAAGGTGAGGTACGTGACTCGGTAACGAGTCATCAACTTGGTACTCTTAAGAAAACACAACTACATCAACAGAAACGTTGTGAAGAGTAAATAAATAGAAGGTACTATGGTTTGTTGTTTCCAAGAGAGGAAACAATACCTGGCTTCGTTCTGAATAAAATCATGGTTTATCTGATCACCGTGCTCCATCAGCCGCTGTCGTTGATTTGCTGATCACATTTCAGCTTTAGAAACCCACAACTTCCTACCTGCCTTCCCAGCAGGCGGCAATGTGGAGCATCGAGGGCGTTATAAAGACTTGAGCTACAATGAAAGGGATGGCGAGGAAACCTGACTGTGCCCACCTGGAAGGCCAGGTCCCTCCCACTCACACTAGGCGGAATCTAGGTTTTAAATTATGCAGAGCTCGATGTAAAACAGCGACAGTGACAGTCCACAGCTGTACAGAGTTCAGTGGATTCAGTCGATTTTTACCAGTTTGGGAAGTTTTCTATCTAGCAATTAATTATTGTCAAGAACTTGGCCATTTTCATAAATGACTGGATGGGACATAAACACGTCACCTCTGCTTCTGCCGTATTTAAGAAAGAGGAAGCCAATTTCACCAGCTGGCATTCGGATGTAATCACACTTACCGGAATGACCGTGGGGACAGACACAGGTGTATCTCCCTATCTCGTTGACACACGTAGCCTGGTTCTCGCAGGGCTCCGAAACACACTCGTCCACCTCCAGGTCGCAGTGCCTGCCTTGGTACCCGGGGACACAGAAGCAGGAGTAGCCGTCGATGCCATCCTGGCACACGGCCCCGTTGCAGCAAGGGCTGGAGGCACACTCGTCCTGATCTATTTCACAGAATCTTCCAGCGTAGCCGGCAGGGCAGATGCAGACAGGGAGAACGGGGTCCTGACGGCAGACACCCCCGTGCTGGCAGGAGCTCACGCCACAGGGACCGATGGCAGCTTCACAGGTCGTCCCACCATACCCGGGAGGACATTCGCACAGAAAGCCCCTTCCTCTCGGGGTCTTCACACACGTGGCCTTTCCGTGACAGGGACTGGAGAGGCAAGGGTCTTTCATGTTGTTACAGTCTTTGTCTGAACAATGGCAGTTATTGTCTGTTGAAAAACTCTTGCACGTAGAATTGTTTAGGCAAGAATCTGAGAGGCACCTGGTGTCGTTTTTATTGCAAAAGGAATCTACAAAAAAGTAAGAAATATCAAGATTAAACTTACAAATGTTGTGGATAATGTTGAAGAACTTCTTTCCTTCTGACCCGTGTGCCCCTCAGACAAACTCACTAATGAAACACACAGTTGGTCGCATTCTAATGATGCGTTTTAACCTCCCATTTGTCAGAATTTTTCATGTGTTGTTAATAAGAAGCAAACTGGTTTGCTGGTTTGAGGTTCTTCCCCTCCACGTTCCCTTTGTCAGGTGTAAGTGGAGTTGAGGAATGGGGTGAACTGAAGCAGCTGTTAAACTTTCCTATATACACAGAATTTTGAAATTCATATTCTCTCGTGGAAGATTTTGGGGAATACAGGGTGATGAATTACAAAACTATTTCTGAATCAGTTGTCTAACTGCAACCAATATTTAAATAAATACCATAACTTGGTTTATTCCTGCTTTATCACAACACCATTGCATGCTCTAAAACAAAAAGCATAGAGAAATTTAAAAAAAAAGAAAAAGTAATAAAATTCTGACTACTTACTGAAGATCTACTCTCTGCATTAAGCATGCTAGGTGTTTCACATGTATCATTTCTTATCCTCACAGCAACAACATACTTGTGTACATTTTGCAGCTAACAGATTAAGTCCCTGCAAGAAACTTGATGCAGTAAAATCTGCAAACTTTCATTGTCCTGAAAATCATCTCTGTTCTAGGAATAAATTTTCAGAATTCTAATTGGAATAATAACCTTCAGGAAAGCAATAATTCTATGATTTTTCCCCCAAGTTCATTGGATACTTGCATGTGTGTAAATTTTTACTGAATATACACACATTATGGTCACAACATTTCTGTTTTCTTGATCTTGTATATTGAGCAGCTTTACGATTTGGCAACTCACAGTATCAGTCCACAAAACACTTTCTTTTCATGTGGATTCATCCAATACATTATTCTCTTATTTTTACTTCCTTTCTCAAAACATTGCTCACAAACATCATAGCATATAACAGTACAGGCACATAATAAAAAAGGTTACAAAATGGAGAGTTTGCTCTTAAATCATGAGACACAAATCAGCCCTTCATGATACCATGGACAAACTCCTTACAGTAAAACACTCTTTCCCTCTCTCTCTCGCTCTCTCTCTATATCTCATATATATTATATATACGTATGTAGATGATCCTCAATTTAAGATGGTTCGATTTTAGATTTTTCAATTTTACAATTGTACCCATACAACCATTTTGTTTTGCACTTTTAGTATAGTATTCAATAAATTACATGAGATATTCCACACTTTATTATAAAATAGGCTTTGTATTAGATGATTTTGCCTAACTGTAGGCTAATGTAAGTGTTCTGAGTACTTTTAAGGTAGATGAGGCTAAGCGATGAGGTTTGGTAGGTTAGGTGTCTTAAATAAATTTTATACTTACGATATTTTCAACTTACAATGGGTTTTTCAGGATGTAATCCCATAGTAAGTAAAGGAGCATCTGTGTATGTATCCTGTTGGTTCTGTTACTCTGGAGAACCTAAACTAATGCAGATTTTGGTACTGAGAGTGGTTGTACAGGGACAGAATTTTACAAAAGAGTTTTCTGAATTGGTACTGGGGTTTTTGGAATTGGCTTCCTAATTGGATTAGATTTAGAGATGCTACTGACTCTATTGTCAACAGTAAAGAGAGCACTAACAGTCCATGGTGTGACGTGGCAATAGAGACACACGAAACATCTACAATGGATACATCTGATCAACAGGAAGCTGGGAGATTGTGTATTTGATCCTTCAGAACATTTTTGGAAAACTAACAAATATAATGACATTGTCTGATCTCTCCTATTGTCGCTGGACAAAATATTGAAAGAAAAGAATCAGCTTAGGGATTTGAATTCCCAGCTTAAGCATTGAACATAAGACTTGAAAGCTTCTACGTGTGCCCTGAGGGACACCCTCAGCTTGCACCTGCAGGGCTGAAATCCTCAAAAATCAAATGCAGAATCTCATCCTGTAATTGGCTGAATCACGATGCAAGTTGAATTCATAGTCGGACAAGGAGTTTACTGTTCAAGTAATGGCATCGATTCGGAACAAGTGGGACCGTATACATTTAAATGGGGTGTCTGGGAAGGCTGTTTTGAGGCTGGGGACCTTGAGCCCTAAATTCTGATGAGTCTTTACTGCAAGGGATAGTAGCCCCTCTATCTCCATCTGAAAAGGTTAACTCTGCATTGCCTGGAGAAATTAATGGCTTTCCCAGGGCAACTGTCATGCTATGCTGTTTCCCTCAAGGACCCTCTCCCATCGCTCCTCTTTGCTTCTAGACCTATCACTAGACTCAAGTCCCAGCAGGGGCCCTAAAGGAGAGGTACAATCATGAGAAGGTACACTACACTCCAAAACACTAACTGTGCTTCTAAATTATACAGACAGAAACCCAGAAGACATGTGTGGGAATGAATACTGAGAGTGTGGGATGATGGGGGAAGGAATTTCGACAATATTTTGTAGTTTTTGGTGCGCAAGTTTTTCCCTCTCTTGGTTAAGTCTATTCTTAAATACTAATATTCTATTCTTTTTAATCCTATTGTAAATGGGATTTTTTAAAATTTCCTTTTCAGATTGTTTGCTGTTAGTGTATAGAAATGCAACCGATGTTAGTGTGTTCAGCTTGTATTCTACAACTTTGCTGAATTTGTTTATTAGTTCTAACAGTTTTAGTTTGTGTGTGTTTATGTGTGAAATCTTTAGGGCTTTCTATACACAATATCATGTCATCTGAAAACAGAGATTTTACATCTTCCTTTTCTATTTGGATGTAATTTATTTCTTTTTCTCCCCTGATCTCTCTAATTAGGTCTTCCAATACTGTGTTGAGTAGAAGTGGCGAGAGTGGGCATCCTTGCCTTATTCCTGATCTTAGAGTGGAAGCTTTCACTTTTCACCATTGAGTATGATTTAATTGTGAGGTTTTTTTTATATAGAGACTTTATTATATTGAAATAATTTCCTTCCTAGTTTGCTGAGTTTTTTTTTTTTAATCATGCAAACATATTAAATTTGGTCAAGTGCTCTTTCTGCATCAATTGAGACGATCTGTGGTTTCTGTCCTTCATTCTGTTAATGTGGTACATTACATTGATCTATTTCTATGTTGAACCATCTTTGCATTCCAGGAATAAATCCCACTTGATCATGATATATAATTTTTTTGAATGCATTGTTGGATTTTATATGCTAGTATTGCAGTATTTTTGCATCAATATTCAAAATTGGTAAATTTTATTGCATGTAAATTATATCTCAATATATTATGACTCCCCCACATTTTAGAAAAACACAGAAAGAAATTAAACAGTCATAAACTTACAAGAGTGAAAAGAAAGGCCAAGGGTATAAACAGCAATAAATAAAAACACACATATATGCACACACAATGGAAGCTGTACTGCAGATGGCAAGTAGCAGCAGGCTTCGTGTATCGGAGCAGGAAAAACCCAGGCCGGCAGTGACAGAATCCCTGAACCAAGTCAGTTCATGCCATAGACCTCCAGAAAGGTTCAGGAGTCAGAGGTTCCAGGTACTTCTGAAATGATGATGCAAGTAGTGTTGCAAACAGCAAAGTTGTTTGAAAATCTGATCAGAAGCTGTTAGACCCTGATATTCCGTCTTTCATTCTGAGACACAGAACAGTTGCCCTTCTCCCGGAAGGCAGACTTAGAGACGTGGGCAGGCACTGCTGTACGTGATGGGGAGGGATTGGGAGAGTGCTGGGGGTTGCGCTGGAACCGACGTGGTAACACGGGGACTTCTTATCTATATACAGAATTTCAAGACACTCCCCAACCCACTTCCTAATTCAGCCCTGAAAATGCCAGCAGCCAGATGTACACCCCAGACAGAAAACTGAATTCTTTCTCCTGACAAGCCTGAGAGAAAATGCTAGCAGGTAATGACAATGGATGTAGCACAATGCAATGGCTCAGCCAGGTCACTCCAGAACTCGAGAGTGCAAGCCACTCAGTGAACGCTGACAAACCCTGGATTATACACAGAAAACTTTCAAGTAGCTCTTTTTAAAAAATCTACATACATAAGAGTATATGCGAATCATATATATGCACATATGGGGCATAATAACCCTTTAACTATACTTGAAATTATACTTTAATTGTACTCTAAAGAATACCGATAAATGAATATAATAATGACAAATGAATATCCCTGTATCCACCAATCATTTAAGAAACAACAGTGTCACCTTCTTAAATACAAACAGATTATATGAGATTACCAGAAATTTGAGGAAAATCTCTAAGATAAACACAGAGACCGAAACATCAAATTACAGAGAAAAGTGACTTGGAAGAAACAATCTAGGGAGTTGGCAACACACATAAAAAAATTCTATAATTAATATGTTCAAAGAATTAAGAAAGTATACTGCAGTAATGAAAAGAGTATAGGAGGCTGTTAAAACAAACCTCTAGAAAACAAAGGAGATCTTTGAAATTAAAAATGCAGTGACAGAAATAATAAATCCAACTGAGTGATTAGAAGATAATGTTGAGAAAAATTTCCCAAACACTAGACAAAAATACTGAGAGATGGAAATAGAGAGAAAGAAATAAGGAAGGAGCAAATCAATCAAGGAGGAATTCAAAATGAGAGAACAAAGAAAATGGGTGTTGGTTGTGAAGGAGGCAACGAAAGGAGGGAGGAGGAAATTGCAAATATGACAGAAATAATAAAAGAAAAATTCCGAGAACTAAAAACAGTTAAGTTTAGAGATTTAAAGATCCCACTGAGTATCTAAGAAAACAATAAATTTACACCAAAGCATGTCATGGTGAAATTTTAGAACATCAGGGACAAAGAGAAAATCCTCAAACACACCTAACCTA